GTGGAGCACTGGGTGTTATGCACAAACAATGAATCATGGAACACTGCATCAAAAACTAATGATGTAATGTATGGTGGTGAACATAACAATAAAAAATTATTAAAAAAAAAAGATATCTTACAAAGACCCTGTTGACCTACTTCCAAGTGTTTTAAAAAAATAAGGCCTTACTTAATCTGTGTCTCTAAAAGAAATGAAAAGTTTTTGCTGCTTCAGAAAAGACATTTCAAGGCTTCACTGAATGCTGACAGAGCAAATCTGGGTTTTTCAGTGAAATACATTCATGGAAATTTTAGTTGCTCTCACACTAAAACCATGTATCTGATAACACACTTTATTATATTGAAAACAGGAGGCAGAGCTCTTAGAATAAATAGTGCGAGGTGTATAAACTTTAAAACCCAACTGATGGAAAATAGAAAATGCAATCAGCCTATTGTGGACACTCAGCTGTATTCTATGTGATCATATGGTAAGTTACCTGGAAATTTGTTCTTTCCAAGGGCAAAATGTACACAAGTTTTTCTTCACTTTCTGCTGCTAACTCGGCATCAGTGATGTGCTGTCTATTGAGGGATGTAATTCTTTCTGGATTACACATTTCATTCCTGTGTAAATTAACATTTCAAAAGAAGCATAAGTCTTTTGAATTCATCTCTTAATACCACTGCTCATTAAAAGACAGTTTTCTATTAAATCATTTGTATTTATTAGAGGCATCTCCTGCTAATTTCAGTAATCAGTTCCCACAAATAAAATGTTCTATTTCCAAGTGCTAAATGGTAGCTATGTTTGAATTACTTTAAATGGGAAAAAATACAGTGCGTTACATGTCAACCCCAATCCCCCAGGCAACTTCCTAAAATAAGTGGAAGTTTCAGTTTACATGTTATATGGATAGATAGATAGCAGGCTAGCATGTAAAAACACATATACTGATTATATAGAAATATGTATGTGTGTATATATATATATAAAATCATGATAGGATATAAAGTGCATGAAACATTACTTCTGGATCACTAAAAAATTAGTAAGGTTTTTAATAAACAGTTGCTTTCTTGCAGCAAATGGCTTCTATTAATGCCAATAACTTGCCTGTTGATATGCCATGCTTTCTAAATTATCCCATGTGATATTCTGACATATAAAGTAGATCTGGAATAGAATTTCAGAACTTTAGGGCCAATTGTTTTGTTAAAAATTATCAACTGCTTTTTTTTTTTTTTGAGAGAAAGAGAGTGCAAGAGTGAGGGGAGGGGCAGGAGGAGAGGGAGAGAATCCTAAGCAGATTCCACACCCAGCACGGAGCCCAACACGGGGCTCAATCTCACTACCCCGAGATCATGACCTGAGCCAAAATCAAGAATCAGACACTTAACCAACGGAGCCACCCAGGCGCCCCATAAATTATCAGTTGCTTTTTGAAAACATAATTATGTTTCCGATATATTAGCCAAAAATGATTTATTGAAAGATACATACAAATTTAGAAATTTACATGTTTAAAACCAAGAGATAAATATCAACATGTTAATGAGGGAGATACATTATACTGATTATTGTACATCAATTTCCACCAAATATTAAGCTGGCTTTCTTATATCTCTAGAGGATTACATGAAATGTCACCTCTTATATTGATACTCATATTAAAAAGCTACTCCCAGAATACATTACCTTAAATGATATCCAATACCCCATTTTTGCTTCAGAAACAAAGATGACCCTGCACATTTCAACTTCCCATTAGACAGAAACACTTTCCTATCTGAGAAGAAAGAAAAGAAAGAATAAATTATGTGAATTCCTTATATGGGTATATTCTCTGCTCTGGAGACCAAATCACCAAATGAATTTTTCAATATGAATGCAGTCTTGATATAACTGAGTTCCTGGGTGCAGCACCACCTCTCACCCCCATGCTTCCTTTGAAGCAGGACTCAGAAATTCATTGCATCCCTCACAGCTTATCCAATGGCATAAAACATTGCAAGGATAGCCCAAATCTTCCATTCTCCCTTTATCCACATACTTTGCTATGTAACTTTGCAGTGTTCTCTCACCATGGGCTAAGAGACCTGCTCCACCCCTTGATATGTGCCTCCACCACATGAGGCCAATGGCATGTTAGCCGACTTTGGCAAGTAGAAGTTTGGAATGGGCTTATGCTTTGGGACTTGGTCTCTAGAGCCTTAGTCATTGCCGTGAGAATGCCTGGGGCAGTCTGCTGGAAGAGGAAATACACCTAGGCTGGCACCTAAGCCACCTTAGGTCACCTGACTGGACTTGCCAATGGTCACTCAACCACCAGACATGTAAGCGAACCCAGTCAAACACCTGAAAAACTTTCTAAGTGAGCCCACCCTAAATTGCTAACTCTCCAACTCATGCACTCAATAAATACTTAATTGACTTAAGACACTAAGTTTGGGGATGGCTGTTTCATAGCTTTATTAAGGCAGGAGGAAACTGACTCAGAGTAAAGTATACTTTACTTCAGATTTCATGGAGGAAACTTAGAATAAGGTTATAGTGCACATTAGAAAGCAAAAATTTCTTTTCACTGAGTTTATTTCTGTCTTCAGTTTTTTAAAGATTCTGCCTTGCACCGTTTCCTGGCTTACTGAAACTCGTCTTCCCCACTTGCCACTATGTCCTAGACAGAACATTTATTCAATCTCTAATTCTCCAATCTTGCATCTTCACACTCAATACCTTGCTTAGTATACCAAGGAGCCTCCTAAGAAGGCAACAAAGGGTTATAAATTTAAAAATAATTTTTCCAGCTAAAAGTTTTTTCTATCCAACAATAAAACTATATATGAAATATTAGAGTTTCAAAATTTTAAAAATATACTTGTGATTAATGTAGACAGTGAAGAAAGTTACAGACAAGAAGATACATAAAGCATGGGCCTAAGAACTCACTGGGGGATCAGAATTCTTCCAAAGCAAATTTCATCTTTACAAGGCAGTCACTCAAAGGGATTACAAACAGGATTCTCTACTTTTAAAAACAGATTATAGAGAATATCTCTCATGTTCAATCCTTAAATAACTATTAGAAGAAAGAAACCAAGAATCATCAGCCACGATGTAAGCCTCATCCATGATCTGGGTACTAAGAAGGACTGTGCGGTTTGTTTTACGCTCCTTCAGGAAGGTCCAAACTTGGTGCCTTGAAAAAGGATCCAACCCAGCAGTCGGTTCATCCAGTAGCAAAACCTACAGAGGAGGAAGAGTATGAGCTCATCTTCCACTTCCAAGTGAGAGTCTTTAGAAAGTTGCATGGAAACCCATATGATTTCTAGATCCAAATACAGCCCTCCACTGGATTCCTCATAGGCTTGCATGGTCCTTTATTACAAATTTTCTCTTATATTTGGTAATTAGAGTTTGGACTTTAATAATAGCTTGATAGCGTTCAATACAAATTAATCTTGGGGCGCCTGGGTGGCTCAGTCAGTTAAGTGTCTGCCTTCGGCTCAGGTCATGATCCCAGAGTCCTGGGATCAAGCCCTGTGTTGGGCTCCCTGTTCAGCCGGGAGTCTGCTTCTCCCTCTCCCATTGCCCTCCCCCGTCCCCCCAACTCATGCTCTCTCGCTCACTCCCTCTCAAATAAGTAAATAAAATCTTTAAAAAAAAAAACAAATTAATCTCAAAAAATATTTTTTTCTCTTACCCAAGGATCTCCTAAAATGGCAATCCCAAATGTTAGTTTTCCCTCCACCACCTAATTTTTTAGCAATAACATCTTGAATGTTTTGTATGTCCAATTCCATTATAACTCTTTTTACCTATTGAAAAAAAACCTCTACATAATAAAAAATATTTTACTTTAATCAGTTCTTCTAATAATTAGGAGAAATCTATTCTAAGAACTTCATCAATTAAGCTTTATTTATGAAAAAATAAAGTAATAGTTCAACAAAAACATGGTCAAGAGCAAAGTATATTATTTTCAAAGGCATTAGTTCTAATATGTTCACCTGCCTCTTGTTCTACTTCTTCTGACTGAATCCCTTTTATTTTAGCAAATAGCCTGAGGTTTTCTCTCACAGTAAGAAAGTCAAATTGAATATTGAATTGTGGACAAAATCCAATGTTCTTTTTCATTTCTTCCATGTTAGTTATTTCAGAGAGTTGAGTATTATAGTGACTGATCCTGTAAACAGAAATTTTCAGGTATTCAACACCAGAGAAGTGACTCTAGGAAGTGGTAATACAGGATATTACTTGAAGAAACTTCACATTTCATAATTGCATAAATAATACATTGAGAAATTCAGATTATTCTTAACATAAATATCAGGGTCCAGGGCAATGCAAAGTGGACAAAGAATGACAATAGCAGAGCGGAGATACAAGCTTTCTGGTGAATTTATATAAATATGAAATAAATAGTTCCTATTCTAAATTACTCAACTGTGTAAAAAAGCCTGCTTTAGAGAAGTGTTTTTGTTTTACACACTCTCATTGAGGAACCTGCTTCATCAGCCAACTTGCTTCTAAAATTATTTTCTTACCTTTTGTAGAACCAGACAACCCATTCAGAATGTTTAGCAGTGTCGATTTACCAGCTCTGCTGTGTCCAAGTATTGCAGTGACCTGTCCTTCATAGATGTCAAGAAATATGCCTGTTTTAGAATAAAATGGAAAATTAGACTTTGGATTATATTCAGATGGAGTGGACCTTACAAAAGTTTGTAAGAGTCAAATGTATCTCAGCGCTTCATTTATTGGTATTCTTATGTGTACCCTCTGAAATTATATATTTGTGTCTTTTTATGAAGACAAAACCTTAATTTCTCTGCAGAAACTGGATCAAGACTGAGAATATAAATTTCTACCTTCCTCCCTACCCAAATCCTTCAAATGTCAAAGAATATATTAATTCGATGTTAAAGAACAGAGCAAAGGCTACCAGGAATAAAGCAGAGTGAAGAGAGTATTTGCTTCCTGGGCCAGGGAAAGCAGTGCGACTGAGGAAACAGTCTCCCAGAGGCTCCCAGAGCTGAGACAGAAGGGCCAGGGATAGAGGCAAAGGGGTATGTATTCCACATTTGGAGGGAGGGAGCATGGGTTAAAGAGAGGATGGTAAAGTTTTCCCTGGCACTGGTCACTGCTCTGTTTTGTATCACAAAAGTGAGGTCATGGTCTCTAGAGGGGTCTGCGGGACCCAGGACACATCACAGGCATTTTTCTATCTGAGTGCTTAGGACCTGATAATTTTTTCTTGAATATTTGAAACATTATCTAACTCCATGGAGAAACAATAGAGTTCCATTAGCACCCTAGAAATTTTAAGATTCTCTGAAGATAGACAACATGTGGAATTATATTGTCAGAGAATCAAAAACAAGACAAACCACAGCCCAAAACAGATGATGAGAAGTCCTATGAAAGTAAGCACAATTCCAGTGATACTGCAAGCTCAGTCTGACAAATCCAAGTCAAAGATTATAAACCAGCACAAGCAGTACAATCCTATTTTTAAAAAATGTTATATATATGTAAATATGTTATCGATGACTATCCCTCAGAGTAGAAATGTGGGCTTTTAAAAATTTTTCTTTTTATCGAGACTCATTCTCTAATTTGCCACTATGACTGTTTGCATCTTCAGGAAACAAAAAAAAAAATTTTTTTTTTAATTAAAAACATCATCAAAACAATGGAGTTTTTCTCTTCACCTTGCAATGCTTCTACTTTTTCAGGCTTTCCATCATATTCTTTTGTAACATTTCTGATTCTGAAAAAAAAGATGAAGCAACTTTGAGGTAAGTACATTTTCTAAAGACACAGATTATGTTAACTGCCAATATTACAGTTTGTGATTAATCCTGAACCTCACAAGGTAGGGTGTCACCCTCATAACGGATCGAAGGAGGGCAGTGGGGAAAGCTCACACCACCCCCAAAGAGATTTGCACAGACCTGCTCATACTGTTATCAAACTTGTTATTTCATATATTCCAGCTATTTCTCTCAGTTGGCAAATGAAGAGAGAGCTACCATTGAAAGAAAGGAAGGAAAGAACAGGAGGGAGAGCGAGGAAGAGATGGGGGAGAGGCTTTCCTTCCGTCCTGAACCCCTCTCTAGCTATTATTTAATTTTTCTTCCCTCCACAGGCAAATTTACCAAAATATAGTCTCTCTACTCTCTGTTTCCATTTCTTTATCTCACATTTATTCCCAACCTAAAGCAACATAGCTTCTGACCCTACAACTCCACTGAAACCATCCTCAGCAAAGACACCGATGATACTCTGTGGAATCCAATGGACACTGACACTTTCCCGTCATTGTTTAATAGATGCTGTATTAAACGACTGCTAGCTCCTTTCTTCTTGCAAGGCTTTATTTCCTTGGCTTCTGCCCTCTTGGTTTCCATATCCTTCTCTTACTATTCCACTCAGCATACTTTATGGCTCCCTTAAACTGGATTCTACACTTAACCAACTATTTTTCTTATTCTCAAATCTTTGCCATATAATAGTGCCCACTCTCATTGCTTCAACTCTTACTTAGATTCTAATGATTCCCAAATTTGTCTCTTTAGGCCTTTCTTCAAAGTCTCAAATGTAAATATCCAGCTTTTTGCTCTGCATCTACACATAGATACCACACAGGGCTTATTATTTTTCCCTCTAAACCAGTCCCACTTCTGTTCTCTTTCTCAGTTGGTGTTTTCAGCATCTACCGAGGAATGCCAATTAAATGCCTAAGAAACATCCTTCTTTCTCATCTCTCTCTCACCTCAACCTGTGGTCTACTAAATTACTCTAATTTAACCTTATGGATTTATGAATTTAAGTTTATGAAATCTCTTTGAATCTATCCCTTTATCACTTGTCTATGACCTTCTAGTCCAGATTCTTATCATCTCTCACCTTGATCTCTGAACCTGATGATGTTTTCCCTTTCCATCAACCTAGCCCCTTGTCTCCCGCAATACAGAGGATATGCCAGGAACTACACTTCCCAGAAATCCTTCTCTGTATTGGACTTAAGGAGAACTTGGGCAAGATTTGGAAAGCAGAAGTGAAAAAAGGCCATTTTTCTCTGAAGGTCATGGGGGCAGACACATGGGCAGACTCTAGGTTTGTAGCAGCTTCTCAGACTTCTTGACAAGCCCTGTTCTGCTGCTGGAGATTAAGAAACCTGGTGGGAACTTTCCCAGAGAATCCCAGCAAACTTTGTGAGACCCACCCACTTCCATGCATCTGGATAAGGTCCTCAGTGGCTGTTTCCCTGACTTTCTGGCTGCAGCTTTCTTGAACCTCCCTCTTCCATTCTTAGTACTTTTACGAATTACTAATTCCCATACCAAATCCCTTTACTTATACAGTATTTCCAGCAACTCACTTTTCCTGACCAAACCCAGACTGACACAACCTTTGGAACGTTTCCATTTCTCCAGTTGTGTTGCCTTCAAATCCATTCCAGAAAGCTGTCCGAGTGATCTGTCAGAGGTCTGGCTGTCTAATTTGCCTCCCTAAAATCACTTGGTAGTTCCCCACACTATGCAGGACAGACTGTCCTTCTTAGCAAACAGTTACCAAATGCTGATTTGGCCCGTACCTCTTAATATTGACTTCTCCCTCTTCTAGCCTTGTATTTTGAGCTCAGAAATGTCACTTTCTTGTCATTCTTTAGACACATGCACATTGTTTCTTGCTGTGCTATGCTAGTCATGCTGTATTCCCTGTTTGGAAGAACCTTCATGTGCCCCATCACAACTTATGTGACCTTTCCCTTCCATAAGACTCACCTCAAGAGTTTTCTCCTTCTGACCTTTCCTACCACTCTTAGGCTGGGCTGAATGATCCTTCTCTAGGTTTGGTTATTCTCGGCATCCATCTCTACCACTCTTTTTACTATTTATCTATTTAAGTGCCTGTTTCCCCCCAGGCTCTGCCTGTCCTGAGGTGGAAGACTGTCATTCATCTTTGAATCCTAGTTCTAGCAGAGGGCTTAATGAATGATGAATAAATGAAGGAACTAATTTGCCAGCAGAAACAGTCTGGTCCAGAACGATCCAAGGAGCTGATGTGAGGCACGTTGGGCTATCAAGCATAAAAAGTGGGGCTGTCAAGGTAGAGGACAGAGTGTGCAGGTTCAAACAGGCTATAGCTGTTGTATGTACCTGGGAGTACACTCATTTCATGTTAGAGTATTAACACCAAATTGGATCTAAGACCATTGAATAGGACAATTGCTGGCATCCACTTAGGAGAACTGAAAGACCACACAACCATACCCATCTTCATTGCCCACTGGAGGAATACGAATCAGGGTTAAGGTTCTGGGCATTTATGGAACCATGTTGCTGAAAGGTGAGATTTTGGCCTAATGTGATTTAGTCTTGATTTAGCTTGTTAATTTAACTAAATTTTCTGGTGTCAACATAGTTATTGTAAGTTAGTGGTAAGGAACAGGATAAACTGAAATAGCTATGTAAGTTTTCACACAGGAGTTACGGCTTGAAAAACTACTAAGAAATGGTAGAATTTGAGAAGTTCCAACTCCAGGGAATAGAGGGTTTTCTCTAATCTTTCTGTGTCAGGTTATAGTTTTTTCCTTTCTCTGTTGTCTCCCTGCTCATTTCCCCTTCTCCCAGATACTTTTGCCAATCACCTTTGACCTAACTGTTTCAAATTAAGTGAACTGATATAAGAATAACTGATTGAATTTATCCATGATATTCCTATTAGCAAACAGTTACCAAATGCTTATTATGGGCTAGGCACTATTCTAAAAGCTTTATGCGTGGTAGCTCATTTACTCTTCATAAAAAACTTATTACCAGTGTCATGTCCATTTTTAAGATATAGAAACCGAGATATGGGCAAGTAACTTAGCTGGGATTACACAGTTAACAAGCAGTAAAGCCAGGATTCAAACCAGGTGGTTTCAATCCTTGGAGCACATTGTAATCACTATGTTCCATTTCGTCCTCAGAATACACTTTCAAAAAAATAACTTCACATAAATGGAATGTCATTTAGGAGTACTTCTCAATAATCTCCTTCAATAAAATAAGCAAACCTAGAGAAGCATGCACTAAATTATGATGAAATTAAGAATTAGGCAGTCATTGTCTATACATCTTTCTGGTTTTCCTTAAAACCTTTACCAATGCTTTTCTCTACATTATTTCTTATTTCTATGCCCTTTCAATCAACAACACCCATATGGATAAAGATAACTAACATTTATCCAGTTCCTGTTACCTAACAGGCATATTTAATTATCTCACTGATTCTTTAAATTCCTTAAGAAGTCATTGTACTATTGAATTATATTACACATTACTTAGAAATGAAGAGAATGAAGTTTAGATATCTCACATAGTTCAGCAAAAAGTTACCAAGCTACTAAATTATAGAGAAATCTTTTGACTTCAAAACTTTAATCCATACACTCCCTAAAGGCAGATAATCTAAGAAACATGTGTGTCTATTTTATATGCTATATGTGTACATATATACATATCATAATGTGTGTGTGTGTGTGTTAGAAGAGTATACATAATTTGTTAGTTACCTTATAGCTTCTTGTCCATGGAACTCTGGAGGCACTGGTTCAAAAGAGTCATCAGAGGAATGGTCACGATTTATTTTGTCCTCAAAGACTTCATAGTGAGTGTTTTGACGTTGCGACCAAAATGAAGACTTCAGGAAAAACAATGGTGAATGCCGGCAGCCATCTTCATCTGATCAATCAAGACACAGTTAGATATTGAATTAATCATCTACATCAGTAAAGAATGATATCTGTCCTAGTGTAGCTTGATACCAATTTTTTCCTACACAGTAATGATTTTTTTCCAGTTCTATTCAGAAATAATTGACCTCTATAACTGTATACGATTAAGGCATGATGGTTTGATTTACATATATTGTAAGATGATTACTACAACAGGTTCAGCTAACATCCATCATCTCAATAGATACAATAAAACAAAGAGAATAAAAAGAAAAAAAATGTGCTCCTTGTGATAAGAACTCTTAGGATTTATGTTCTTAACAACTTTCCCATGTTGTTTCCCAACACAGTGGTGCTGACTATAGTCCTCATGTTGTACATGACGTCCCTAGTACTTACTTACAACTGGGAGTTTGTACCTGTTGAAATCCCCCCTTCCTCCAGCTGTAAGTCCAATCTCTTTTTCTATAAGTTTGGTTTGGCTTTTTTGTTTCTGGGTTTTGTTTTGTTTTGTTTTTTTTAGATTCCACATATAAGTGAGATCATTACACTATTTGTCTTTATTTATAGCGTTTAAAAAAATATGGCAAAAATTGAATGAGTTTTGGATACTCCTGTTTTGCAGCTGCTGACCTAGTTAAGTGACATTTTCTCTCCCCACTAGTAGCCAAAACCAGAAACAAAAGCCAGCCTCACCCTCTCTCTTTCTCACTTCCTCCATCTACTATATAACTAACCACCAAGTGAGATTGTTTCTATCTCCTAAGTATCTCCTGAGTCTGTCCTCCCCTCTATATTACACTGGTCCTCAATTTGGTCCCCTCCCCTCTCTAACACAGACTATGATGTCCACCTGCTTTGAACCCATCCTCCAAAGAGCTGTCAGAGCGATCTTCCTAAGACACAAATCTCATCAGTGAAAGGTCCTACATAGATTGTATCAATCTGTCTGTTTCCTGCACCGATGGTTCTAAGGTTCTTGGATTTCTTGGATGAATAATATTTTTTTAAATAAATATATTGTGTTCTTTAAGAACAATTAAAAAAACCTCCCATCTTGCTATGATCACCATTGCAAAAGAGAAAAAATATTTTCACAACAAAAGTATAGATATTTAAGGCTATAATCTCACAATATGAAAGACTTAACTTCCAATGAAAGAATTAAGGTATATAAATAAGTTTCACATTATTTTTCTCATTTCAACAAAAACAAGAGAAAAGTTTGTCAGAGATCATCACCCATACTGGAACTGACTAGAGGAGAGAATCCCAAATTCTGCATGTGATCTATGGAGTTAGCAAGAGCAGGCACCTACAGAGGGACTTAACTGGAGGTGAACCTCAGCATCATTGCGTTTTTTTTTTTTTTTTTAAAGATTTTATTTATTTATTTGACAGAGAGAGAGTGAGCACAGCAGGGAGAGTGGCCAGCAGAGGGAGAGGGAGAAACAGACTCCCCACTGAGCAAGGAGTCTGATGTGGGGCTCGATCCCAGGACCTGGGATTATGACCTGAGCTGAAGGCAGACGCTTAACCGACTGAGCCACCCAGGTGCCCCGATCATTGGGATCTTTACATGCTATATGGCCCTGTGTGTAGCTGTGCACAGACATGTATTTGGAAAAAATCTCCCCTTGTAATTTCTTATTAGCTGGTTATTAATTCCTATACTAGAACCACATCTGACACCCAAACTATGTACTAGCTCTACCTAATAACTTTTAATTTCCCCTACACTATAGCTGTTTCCCATGGCTGGGCACACATGCTATTCCTTTTGAACATAAAATATTTTGTGCACTCTTGTCCACCAGGTAAACTTTCTTATCCTTTAAATGCAGCTGAAATTCTTTCCTCCCACCAACCCAAGGACTTACCCTATCAATGAACCTTGTGGTATCCTCTATCACACTTCCTATACTATATTTAATTACTGATTCTTGTGTTTCCAGTGTTAACTGTGAAAGCCTTGAAGACTCAGCCTGCTGACCCACATAAACTTAATCAGCAGTTATGTATTAAACAGACACAAAGATTAAATCTGATATCTAATTAGTATCAGTTTTATGGGAAATTTTGATTCAGAAAAAGACTTATGAATGTAAAATATAACCTACTTTAAAAATGTGGATTTGAAAGATGTTTATACAAATTTGGGTTAAAGAATACATATTGTACCCAAGTAAGGGGAAGTGAGATTGAATGAAATTTGTGGGGGGAAAAAAAAAACCGAGGAGGAAGAGAAGGAGGAGGGAGTGGGAAGAGGAGGGGGAAGAGTAGAAGGAAAAGAAGAAACAGATTTTTTATTTGAAGCTGAGGGAAAAAAAGAGGACATTCTTGTATTCCTTCATCAAATATTTATTGAGAGCTTTTGCACCAGGTGGTCTCTAGATGGAAAAATACATTGTTTATCCTGAAGAAAGTTAAAATAAGAAGACAAATATATGCATTTATGTAATTCACCAGGAATTTATTGAGGACCTACTACGTAACAAAGACTGCTCTAGATGCTTAGAGATATCTTCCTCAGGAGGACTTACATTCTAGAGACAAAAGACAGGAAATAAACAATAAATATCATGAATATTGAATTCATTGGAAAAACAAAACCCAAAAGGGGAGTATTAATAAAGTCAGTTTCAAAGTTTTCATCCAAATTCTGCTTTGTTCTTGGGCTAGTCATATAACCTCCCCAGACCACTGCTTTAGCAAATCTAAGATGTGAGGTTTGTAGTAAATGCTGAATTTACCAATACATACTCACTGGTAAAATTTTCTGATTATATGAATACATAGAACAGAAAAAAATTGAATTACTTCTTCCCATAAATAAATATTACTTATTGTGCCTTCCCGTGGTAGAGGGTGGGGGTTAGGGGAGTATTTGAAAAGTAAGTTAATTATGAATGAGTGGAGAACTCAGAAGAAAAAGTGGATAATCACCTATTAAAGTACAAATTAAATTTTAGATGGAAGTATTGGAGAAAAAAATTTTAATGTAGAAAAAACCCCCAAAACTTTAGGAGAAGACAAATAGGTAATATGACACAGAATTGTGACAGGGGAAAATTAACTTTGGGGCATTAACTATGCCTTCCTCTACTCCCAAGAAAGAGTTTCAATTTTATCGACTAGGCTCTGGGGCCTGATGGGCTAAAAACAAATTGATTTGATTTATATTCAAAGGGTTATAAACAATGGGCAAGAGAGAAAATAAGAAATTCCAAAAGGAAAAAGATGATGAGAAAGTAGAGAAGATCCTAGCTCCAGTTTAGCTGGGGACACTTTTAAGGGTTCAGCAAAAAGGAATTTTTAAGACCTTTGCTATGGGTATGAACAAGAGAATGAGTGCATACACCAGGAGATCAGATCTGGGATTTTAATTTCCATTTTGCAGGTTTGAGATGACAGTAAAATTACCTAATCATTCAGATACTAGAGTGCTGATTCTTGTCTACGACTTGCACCAAGGCATATGTTAACTTGGTTTCAGAGGTTACATGTATTATATGCTACATTTTGTTCAAAGAAGAAATTTCATTTATTTTTAAGAAGCTGTTTATTCACAATAATAATTTTGCAAAATAATTTTTGCTGGGTGCATAAGAAATGCATTATTTCAAAATGATAGATTATGAAATTTTTTAAAATGAAATTATATTAATGGAACAAATAGGCATAGGGGATAAAATCCTAAAATAATAGTGTAATGGAGATAAAGAACACGAAACAAATAAAAGTCTAAAAGAAAACTATACATATTTTAAAAACAGAATACCTGAATTAGAAAACGTTTAAAGAAAGACACGAAAATAATAGGGTTTGAAAAGGATAGCCCTATTCAGATTCTGATGCATGAGAAGGAATTATGTATGAGTACAATTTGTGGATTTTATGTAGGCAGAAAGGAATATAAGTATATTAGTTCCTGGGATGATATACGCATTCTATATAGGAATTTAACAATAATTATTTAAGAACCATTTTTAACTAATTTTATGAGCTTATTTTACCAATTTTTATGATACTCTATAAAGCATTCTTGTTAGGCTGATCGTCCCATAAAAAGAAAGAAAAGAAGAGGTCATCCATCAACTTTATACTGTTTCCTACTTCATATTCTTGAGATGCAGAAGAACAAGTTTCCTAGAGCCAAATACTAGCAAGAGCTGTTTAATGAGCTATCTTAATGTCTGTGAGTTCAATTCAAACACTAAAAAACATCATGTTCAATAACTGTTAGAGCTGTTTCCTTCTCTCTCCACACCAACCAACACACATACACATGCACACACGCGCACACCCTATCTTTATAAAAGAGAAAAACCAAAAGAAATACAAGTTATTTTTAACTAAGATGTTTTTACCAAATATTTCTGGTCAGACCATTAAATAGTGAGATGAAAATGAGGAGATTCTATTAATTTTGAGACCATTTCCTTTCCTCTGCCACCAGAAATGCTTCTTAAATTAGAAGTAAACAATAATAAGATATTATCTTATAAGCAGCAGAATTGCTTTAAATTCAACTGTAACCACACTATGATTTACCAGGCAAAACTCCCTCAAAATATAACATTAATATCAAATAGAGAAGAGTATCAAGTGCCAGAATGAAGAAAGTAACCATCATTATGTATGACTCTCCAGACGGATTGGGAAAAATAACACCAATCAGGTAATAATCCATGTGTAAAATCTGAGATTAAAAAGAATAAAATAACAGAATATGAACCTATAAGGCTAAAGGGTTTTTTTTATTAAATGGTGCTGCCTAGAAAAATATAGTTCACATTTTAATAGCTTTTTCTTCAAAAATGCACAGTGAAGTTGTTAGTAGTAGTGTTGCTTTTTACAAATAAAATTATTGTCACGAAAGTGGGAAATGCTATCTGAGAAAGTAAAACAATTGAAGAATAGAAATTTAACTGACTAATTGATTACAAGTTTTAAAGAAGGGAATATAGAGAAGTGGTCAAGGAGCCAAAAATAACATATTGTAGGAAGAGAAACTAAGAGCAGGCAGTGAAACTGGAGGACATATAAAGGAAATATAAAAATGCTAAGGATAAGATATTGTAGAAACACTCAAATATTAAATAAGTATTGAAAACTTGAAGAGATTCATTTTAAAGATAAGAAAGATAATAGTTCACATTCACATAGCATGTGTCAGGAACTACTCTAGCATTATGTGTAGAGAATAATACAGTCAGCCCTCCCGTTTACCCCCATTGAGGTGATTTCTACTGACACATCCCATTCTACAAAGAATAAAGGAAGGCTACAGAAGTCAAGTGACTTGCCCAAGTTTACCCAGCTGGTACGTGGGCAGAGCTGAGACTGATTCATGCATTATTACTTATTCACTATTACTCATATCTCCACGTTTTACTGCCTCTTCAAATGGGGACATAAATCGGACAAATGGAGGGGTCAGATATGGGCAATTATTTTTCTTCTTTAAATTTTCTAGAATTTTATAAATCATCTAACTGCTTTGCTTATTACTTTGATGAGAATTCACAAGAGAATGCAGAACTTCTTAAAATACAAGGTGACTGATCACTAAATTTCATGAAGTTATCAAACTCTTCAAAATTTTGAAAATCTAATAAATAAAATCATAAAATCATTGTGCTCTTTACCGGAGCCATTCCAGCAGTGAAGGCAAAGGGGCTAAAAAGACCTAAAGTCCATCCCAAAGATGAAGGAAGTTGTCTGTATAATACAGTGAATCCCAGACATCCCCAAAATACAGTGAAGAGAAACCCAACCAAACCAGTAAGGATAGGTTCCTTTATCAGCACACTCAGGAGGAAAGCCAATGCTATCTGAAGGAAGAAAGAAGAGTTCCAAATGGTATGCTTGTCCCTTTGAGAATCATTTTTATCAATAATAATCAATTTCTCACATTGTCAAAAACTTTCTCAAAACATACAGAAAGCAAGATATCAAATTAGTGACTATGCCATACTGATATCCTAAAGAAACATCATTTACTCATATATCTGAGATGTGAAACAAATTAAGAGATATGTTTTGCCAACTCAGCAAAGACAGGCCATATAAGACAAAGAGTATGAATATCACCATGAAGCCAACAATTACTACAATTTGGATAGATGTTATGATCAGAGCCATAAAAATGGACAGGATAAATACGAAGCGAGCATACATAAATCCCCAGGAGAGCCTATGGTAGAAACAAAGTGTTACTTCAGAATGTCACACACAGGTAAATGTTTGGAGAGGCAATATGCACAAGTTATGAGTACAAGTTCTGAAAGCAAACACACCAGAGTCAAATTTACTATAAAACTGTGGCTTTACACTTTCTAGCCATGAGGTCATAGGTAGGACTTTTCCTTTCTCACCCTCATCTATGAATTGGAATTAATTGTGGTAGCTACCTCATACGTGTGTGTGAACTCTTTAGCTGAGCTGTTATTATAATTACTTTACAACTGTTGAATAAATTTAAAAATTCATATCACACATAATCTGATTCTTTCAGTCAAGTGACTAAATATGAAATGGAAATATAATAATCTCATCTTTAAACTCTTATACTAAATTCTTTTTGGTATAACATTTTTCTTAATGTTTAATTGAAATCTCTCTGATATAAGGAAAGCTCATTTCATTTTTTATCCTTATATGGCTTTTGACATTAACCATTCAGGTTATTGTTTTTAGAAATTAGAATACTATAGTGCAGCTAGAAAGCACAAAACTAAAGGAAAGCAAAAGGTGTCCTGGGAGTTAACAGCTGTATAATAGGGATCCTGCATCACAGTGGTCAAAGCATGGTTGTTTTTTGAAAATTTGAGGGAATAGATGGAAAGATATGTTTAAACAGGAAAATGGCTCTCACTGTTAAAAACTGACCTTTCACGAACACACCAATAAATTGCCAAGTACCCTCTAAATTTACATAGGGCTTTCAGCTCAAGTGTGGAACTTTGTGCAGATGATGCATTTGAAATCCTTTTATATCATTTTGTGCAGTACATAATTACTATCACATGTAAATAGCATTTTCATGTATACAAACAGTAATAAGCTTAAATGATTATAGTTTTTCTAGTAAGGAGATTCCTCAAAAAATTACAAATAGAACTACCAAATGATCTAGCAATTCTACCTCTGGGTGTTTTTTTTTTTTTTTTAAGATTGTATTTATTTCTTTGAGACAGAGAGAGTGCAAGGGGGTTGGAGCAGAGGGGGAGAGAGAAAGGATCTGAGGTGGACTCCACACTGAGTGGGAAGCCCAATGCAGGGCTCGATCCCACGACCACCGTGAGATCATGACCTGAGCTGAAACCAAGAGATGGATGCTTAACTGACCATGCCAACCAGGCACCCCTCTACTTCTGGGTATTTATCTGAAAGAAATTAAAACCGTAATTCAAAAAGATATATGTGCTCCCATGTTTATTGCAGCATTATTTACAATAGCCAAGACATGGAAGCAACTTAAGTGTCCATCAATGGATGAAAAGAAAAAAAAAAGTGATAGATATTGATACACACGCAATGGAATATTATTCAGCCACAAAAAAGAAGGAAATCTTGCTATTTGCAATAACAAGGATGGAACTTGAGGGCATTTGCTAAGTTAAAATAGACAAATTTTAATATCCTATAATCTCACTTATACATAGAATCTAAAACCAACAAACAAACTCATAGGTACAGAGAACAGTTTGGTGGTTGCCAGAGGCGGGGGTGGGGAGAAGGCAAAATGGGTGGAGGTGATTAAAAAGCACAAACAAGTTATAAAATAAATCATGGGAATGTAATGTGCAGCACAGTGACTGTAGTTAATAATATTGTATTAACTTTTTGAAAGTTGTTAAGAGAGTAGATCTTAAAACTTCTCATCACAAGAAAAGAATTATAAATCTGTGTGGATGATAGATGTTAGTTAGATTTATTGTGGTGATCATTTCACAATATATACAAATATTGAATCTTTATGTTTTTCACCTGAAACTAATATTATATATAAATTATATCCCAATAAAAAAAGATCATAGTTTTCCTCTCTCATGCTCTCATTATTCAATTTGAAATTTTAAAAATCTTTTACAAAACTGAACACCTAACAACCTTACTCAATTAATTTTTTGAAGCTAGGGTAAATCTTTCATATATTAAAACATCTACTTCTAATAATTAATAATAATTTTTCAAAAGAGCTGGTCATAGAGTGAAGTAAAGAGAGCATGAAGTATGAAGATTAGTTAAGAAGAAGAAAAGAAATAAGAAAAATGGACTGTTATGTTCAATGAATTAATAAGATTAGACATATGTAAATTCCAATGTATGTATGAAAGCATAAACCAACTCAAATACAATTATTTTCTATGCTTTTGTCATTTATACATTGCTGGCTGGAATATAAAATGGTATATCTACTCTGGAAACCAGTTTAACAGTTTCTTATAAAACTAAACCACCATACAACCCAGAAATTATACCACTGGGCATTTACCTCAGAGAAATGAAAACTTATGTTCATAAAAATACCTGGACATCAATGTTCACAGTAGCTTTATTTGTAATACTCCCAAACTGGAAACAACTCCTCCCTCTTTCAAAGGCTGAACAACTAATCAAACAGAGATACTGCTACCATGGAACAGTCCTTAGCAATAAAAAAAAAAAGCAAACTATTGATAAATACAAACTTGGATGAAATGTCAGGAAATTGTACTTAGTGGGGAAAAAAAGGCCTCAAAAGGTTATGTGATTCCACTTATATAGCATTCTTGAAATGTCAAAATTATAGAAATGGTGAAGAGATTGGTGGTTGGCAGGGGTTAGAAATGGGGGATAAGGAAGAGAGTTGAGTGTGGCTATAATGATGGAACAATGGAACTGTCCTGTATCTTAACTGTATCAATGTCCACAATGAGATTGTGATATCATATGACAGTTTTGCAGATGTTATCATTGGGGGAAACTGGAAAAGTGTACCTGCAATCTATTTCTTAAAATTGAGTATGTATCTACCCAAAATAAAAAATGTTTAATTAAAAAAAATTGTAGTTACCTGAAAAGCTAAGACTAAATGATGTTTTAAAAGGAGAAAGAGTGCTTTGTACCATGTCAGTATACATTCAGTAAACTATAAACAATTGGGAGGATTGGGAGAGCATGTGGGAAAAAAAGTACTTTAACTGCTTTCAGTTATATTGAAATAATATTAGTATTGTTAGACACATGTATATTTCTGGATAAAACAAATGAATAATAGGGATGTTCTAATTCTCAGATTCTCTGTATCTCTCCTGGAGAATCAGAATTCTCAGTACACAGGAAAGGAGATACAGTTGTAATATGGGAGAGGCTACGTAAAAGCTCTATAGTACTATATTTGAATTGTAAATATCAGTGTGAATTCATAAGGCATTTATCTTTAATGTATGTTATTCTGTATACAAAATGTAGAAAATATATCATGATTCTATCTCTGCTATTGAAAAAGGCTAGAAACAATGAGCAATCCAATATCAAAAAATATTTCTAGTATGCAATGCTCTTGAAATACTTTTTCTAACTAAAAGAAATCTTGCCACACAAAATAGCAAGGAATCTATTTTTTTCAAAACCCACTTAGAATCTTGTCAAAAAGAATCAGAAACCAACCTTCAGCTCCCTTTGACCAAAGATGGGACAATCTGAGCTTCAGTAAGAATAATAATTACAATGGCTTGAAATCTATTAGACATGTTTAGATCCATCAGTTTATAATGGTATTTTAAAAAATCAGTCATCTTTGAAGAACGTTAGACAAACAGTTAATTATCTAATAAAGGAAAAAGTTAAGCAAAAAATTCTGTTTTCAATCATTTGTTTTATCTGTTTTCCTGTTCCACCCTCTTAAAAAAAGTTTGCCCCAGTAGGAGCTAATCATAATTCATGTATATTTAAACCAAATTCTCTTACCTGTTTCAGTTCTATGAAACAGAACTGTTTCTGTTCTGAATTGAAATTGCTAGAATTTCATATAACAGAAATGTATAGTTGGAAAGGGATTACTATAAATAATTCTCATGATCTATTCACCATGTTTTATATAAGAAATTACTCTTGAGATCCTTTGAAAATTCTGCATTCTTTTTTTGTTGTTGTAGTTGAAAATTGAAAATTCTGCATTCTTGAGCCTTATTTGGGTTAAGAAGATTGTAGCAGAATTTGTGTGCAATCAGGAAGAAAGTGGAAGAGGATAAAATATACAAGAACTGTGGGGACTTTATAAGAAATATATGTTTTACCCCAGTTATTGGGGAATTTTCTTCAAAGTTAAATTGTCAAAGCCATACTTTTTTTATGTGTATTATTTCATTTTAAAAATCTTTTCCCTGTGTTTGAAGACACTCTCCCCAATAGCATGTAATATTAACTATTTTTTTAAAAATCTCCAGCCAATGTAAACCCTGCTAACTTGGACAGTTCTCTATCAGGAAAACTTTCGAGCTGTGTTTTTTCTCAATTTGAGGTACTTAGCAAATTGGATCCAAATGTAATGTTTATCTCAAAAACACTGAAGACAATATGGTACGCATTTCTGTTGGCACATTTCACAAACAGCTTTTTCTACCAAGGGAAAAATATCACCTTGTCACTAATTTCATTTTATTCATCTTTTTGAGTTATGTAGCACAGTGTCTAAAAGAAAGGGGTTTCTTAGGCAAAAATCTTAACTTTTCTGTGCCTTGGTTTTCTTGTGAAATAACAGCACTATAAACTGTGAGTGATCCCTGGAATACAGTAAGTTCAGTGTTTGCTACTATTACTGTTATTATTGTATACTCTCTCAAAGTCTATGGGGAAAGGGACAATAGATAAATGGAGAGAAAGATTCATTTTACTCTGTGTCTTGTGCCTTATAAGCAGCAACACCGTCTGTGCTAAGCAGATTAAAGATATTGTCTCATCTAATCCTTAGTCTTACCCAAAGAACATCTTTATTGACTAACTGCATGAATTGGCTTTAATAACATTATGGCAAATTAGTTTAATGTTCAAATTTTTCAATCCCTTCTTCCCTGCTTCCCTTCCATGAAGGGATAGAATTACCCATATTACTGATCCTGGGCTTGGCTCTTTGACTTGCTTTGGCTTTATGGTGGGCAGAATATACTTTTTTGCCCCTTGACTTTGGATTTGTCCACATGACTTGCTTTAACCGATGGGATTTTATCAAATATGACTTGAGAAGGAGCTTGAAATGTGTGGTGCAGCAAGACTTGCTCTCATGCGCTTCTGTGATTGAAGGAGAAGAATGTGTCCAGCTATGCTGCTGACCCACGGGGGATTAAAACCACATGGGGCAGGCTTGATGCAACCTGTAACTTGGATCCAAGCCCAACCAAGCCCAGACTAGATCTGCCAGACTCCAGTCATGCCACAGACAAATGAGAGGAATAAATGAGTGTTGTTTGAGGTTACTGGGTTTTGGGGTGGTGTTTTATGCAGCGTCTTTCTGGCAATAGCTAACAGATACAAGCACCATATTTCTATTCTGCAATTCAAGGAAACATAAGCACAATCCTTACTTCATTTCTACTGCCAGCATCTTAAAATGTAATACAGGTAAGCTAATTAAATTGAATGCATGCAAAAAACAAACTCCTGAATGCATCTAATTTCTTTTATAATCTAATGGGTTTCTCTGTTTATTAATGTGTGATACAGAGGCAAGAAAGCAACTTAACTCACCAGAATGCTGACTCTCGGAGACTCATCACTGTCATCAGTTTCTTAAACTTTTTTCTTTCCCGTGTAACATTTAATGAAGGGAGATACACAAAATGGGAGAAATAAACCATACAAATAAAAGTAAACCATGTATTTATGATTTCTCCATTAGAAATGAAAGGCAGCATCGTCATATTGATTCCAATAACTGATGTCAGCTGTTCCATCACAGAATGATTTGTTGTGACCTAAATTGGAATGTTAAACAAATTCATTACATTAACTATAGAAAAATATATTAGAAAACCATACACATTTTGTTTCTTTTCATTTTCAGTACTTATATATTTCATCATTTAAAAATATGGTGAACTATTAACATCATTAGAACATTCTTTTTTTGGGTGTTAATTCTACCTTTTTTTTTTTATGTTAGTCACCATACATTACATCATTAGTTTTTGATGTAGTATTCCATGATTCATTCTTTGAGTATAACACCCAGTGCTCCATGAAGAACGTGCCCTCTTTAATACCCATCACTGGGCTAACCCACCTCTCCACCCCCCACCCCTCTAGAACCCTCAGTTTGTTTCTCAGAGTCCATAGTCTCTCATGGTTCATCTCCCCCTTTAGAACATTCTTGATGACTTCTGGTATTAGTAATGTTGACATTACTTGTAAGAGTCATTTAAAAAAATTACTAGACGTCTGTCATGCCCAATATACTGTGATGGGTGGTGGAGAGATAGCAGTGATCCACAGGAACACTCACTCTCATGGAGCTTTATGTTTCATGGTGGAGCAGAGAAGGAAGGTGAGACATCAAATAACCCATTGCACAATCAATAGTTTGATTATCATTGAGGAACTGCATTAAAGGAGAAGTAGAGGGTGTTCTGAGAACAAAAATAGGGAAGGCCTCCCTAAAGAAATGACATTTATTTATACAGTGACCTTAACCTAAACAAAGCTTGGGCAGGGAGGGAAGTTGAGGATGGAGAAGAAAAATCTGAGTAGAGGAAACGGCATTTGCAAAGGAAGGAAGGGGTATAGTGCATTGGAGGCACAGGAAGGAGGTCCTTGAAGCAAAACTGACAGGCGGAGAGGTAGGGAGGAAAGGAGGGAGAGAGATGAGGCTAGAGAAATAAACTACTCCCACAGTTCAGGCAAAAGATGGTAATGGCCTGGACTAGTGCTGGTGGCAGAGTTGGAAGCACATGGGTTTCAGTTTAGGATTCACAGGGCTGGATGAAAGATTGGAGGTAATGGGTAAGGCAGAGGAAATTTTCTCTGATAATTCCTTAGTTTTTAATTAACTGGTCACCTAGGTGGGTAGCCTTGGCATTCACTAAGACAGGAAAATTTTTAAAAGACTCAGCCACATGAAGAGAAAAATACCCACATTCAGTTTTGAACATACTAGTTTAAATCGTTTAGGAAGCATCAAAGTAGAGATATTCAGCAAACAGTCAGATACATCAAACTACAGCAGAGGTTAGCAAACTACAGTCCAAGGACCAAATCTAGTCCACCACCTGCCTTTGTAAATAAAGTTTTTATTGGAATGGAGCCATACTCATTTCTTTATGTACTGTCTATGGTTTCTTTCATGTTACAACAGCTGAGTGGAATAGGTACCATAAAAAAGTTTGGCCCCCGGAGCCTACAATATTTATTACCTGGTCCCTTATAGAACAAGTTTGCTGGTCTACAAGTTGAAGTAGGGTTCTTAGAGTTATCAGCATGTAAATCGTAAAGTTATGGAAATAAATAACATTGTTCAGAGAAAGTATACAGCATGGGGAAAGATGCCTAGGTTAGAAACTTGTGGAACTACAGATTTAAAGAAGCATGAGTGTGAAGCTGGATAAGCTGGCAAGAAGACTAAGAAGGAAAGGCTAGAACAGTGCAAGAAAATCAGGGGAAGGCTACGTTATTTAATTAAAAGATCAAGTAAAATAAGGAATGAAAGATGTCAGTCGTTAATTGACATGGGAGTGGTTACCGACCTCAGAAAAAGCCATCTGGGTGGTGTGGATGGGGCAGAAATAGTTCTGAGTTGAATGGAGCCTAAGTGAAGGCAACCTTTTCAAGAAACTTAGCTGTGGAGGGAGCTAAAGTACTTGCCTGAGGAGGAAAGATCCTGTTAATATGTGAGGAAATCAATACTTTTCAATCCCAAAGAGAAGAATCTAGTTGAAAGGGGAAAATTGAAAAAGGAGGAGACAGAAGGGAAGATCCACTGTGAAACCTTACTAATAATGTTGGAAGGAACAGGATCCAGCCTGTGGATTGATGAAGGACATGAGATGAGGCAGAAAGAAAAGTTTGGGTGTAGTGAGTAGTAGGTCTATAGTTTAGCAGGGTTTGTGTTGGGAAGTGGGGATATTCCCATCAGTTTCTTCTTTCTCTGAGAATAAGAGGCAGAGCATAATCTCCTAAGAGTGCAGGGGCAAAGTGGAGGAAGAGGTAGAGACTGAAGATACAGAGAAAATAAAGTATAAAATAGATTACTTAAGTAAGACACTTACTTCTATAATTGCAGCATTAATTGCAGTTTGAAATGCCACAAACCCATTTTGCCAGTATCTTGTCATGTAACAAAAAATTTTATCAGCAGAATCCCAACAGTGTTCTTTAAGGGAGGAGAAAAACATGCCCGTCATTATACAATGGAATCAATCAATGGAATTAAAACCTTAACTTTGGCTCTAAAGTGGAAATATCTACATGCCTGTTCAGAGCCCATGATTATATAATCTAGAGCATTTTTAAAGCATTCTGCAAAACTGGAAGAAAGAAGCATATTATTGAATGTTGGCCAAAATAATTCTGTAGTAAAGACTGATCACTAAGTTGAGGAATAAAAAGTATATTACTTCGTTTCTTGATTTTCTTAATGTTTCTATCAGTCATTCCCAACTGGGGATTTGATGAAGTAGCAAAAAAGACTGAATCAATTCTTATATAGTTAACCTGCACGTTCAGAGTTTTCTTCCATATTTGGGATTTCATAGCCCCAACTAAACTTCAGCTGATACATGAAAAAGTATCATTAAACACAATTCCCACCATTTCATGATGGTTTTCTGAAAGTACCATATCCATCATTTCTTTATCAGCAATCCTGATTGTTCTTCCTGCCATGTATGAAAAAAATCAATAATCATATCAACTCATCACTAGAGAACATAAAATCAAGTTGCAATTATTTAGGTTTATTGGTGTCACACACTATCCCTAAGTAGGTGTCTCTAAATTAGGTACTGAAAGTCTATCCTATTGTCTTAGGCTCAATGTAAATATGTGAAAAGATATAAATGACATGTCTTTTAAAAACCATTTGCACGGGTGCCTGGGTGGCTCAGTCAGTTGAGCGTAGGACTCTTGGTTTCAGCTCAGGTCATGATCTCAGGGTCGTGAGATGGAGCCCCTCATCGGGCCCCATGCTCCATGGGAAGACTGCTTGAGATTCTCTCTCTCCCTCTCCCTCTGCCCCTCTCCTGCTCTCTCTATAATCAATCTTTAAAAAAAACCCATTTGCAGCAATTTTTTGCTGTGATCGCATTTTAGTAAAGAAACTGAATCTGTGTGCCTATATACATATATGAAAATATATGTCTATATATGTGACCAGGTATACATATTATCCTAAAAAGATACACACAAATTTAAATGGGAGGTATGGTAGGGAGGAAGGTGTGGCTAGGATAAAAGCAAAAGCTCTCTCTTCTTTTTTCTTCAGTTTTTATTGCTTAGCTTTTTTTTAGGGTGGCTATTACCTTGGTGATTAAAGTAACTAAAAAATTAAAAAGAAAAATATTCAAAATAGTCAATGGAAATACTTAAGAATTTGGTGTTGTTTTTTTTTCCTGCCAAGAGTACTAATTTCTGTCACATGGAAATACTATGCCAGTAGAAATAAACTGCATGCAAATAATAAGAGTACAAAAATCACAAGTGAAGTTACAGTCCACCTACAGGTTCTTTGGCGTCAAGAACACTCCTTAGAATTGAGCTCAAAAAATTCGTAATGGATGAGTTCATAATCTGCAGAAGTAATCCACCCAATAAGTGGTTAATTGATCCATTACTAATGGAAACTTCAGAAACCTCTGAAGTCCAATATATGGCCTCCTTTTTAAAGACTTTTTAATAATTTCATGTATTATGTTCTAAGATTTTTATTAATTTTAACACAGCATTTAAATCTTACTCAGGACAATGTCTACATGGAGAAGAAAAAGGTATTTATTTTCATAGTGTAGCCAAATCTTTCAAAAATATTCATCCTTCCAAACATGGAATAAGGCTGTGACATTTTTATGAGGACAATCCTAATGTCACTGATTTTTCTCTAGCAGTATACAAACACTGTCAAGGGCAAAACATGAATATTTGGGCTGAACTAGCATCACATATGAGATATTCCTGCCAAAAATGTTCAACCTGAAGTTAATCCTGTCTTTCAATCTAATTTTCTGCTTAAAGAAATGTAAGAAGGCAAAGGAATGAGTTAAATGACAGCATGAAGAAGGAATCAGATAAATACAAAACATGAATATTCAACAAGATATGAGATGGTCTCATTGGTTCCAGGCTTATCAAAACCAACTTTGAAAGTATTTTTCAGGGGCACCTGGGTGGTGCAGCTGGTAAAGCATCCCGACTCTTGGTTTTGGCTCAGGTTGTGATCTCAGGGTTGTGAGATCAAGCCATGTGTGGGCTCTACGCTCCGGACAATCTGCTGGAGATTCCCTCTCCCTCTCCCTTTGTCCCCCCCACTTGTGCTCACTCTCATTCTCTCTCTCTCAAATAATCTTTTTTTAAAAAGAAATTTTCAGGAAGTTTAGGAAATTGAACTTGAAATGAGATGATTATATGCAATTTTTGCTAATTTTGTGAAGTATATTAGTGGTTATATAGTGTTTAATTTTTGTAGATTCTAGCTCAAGTATGACAGTAAAGTGTCATATATCTTGAAAGAGGAGAGACAGATGAAGCAAAGAGCAAGAAGTTAACACTTGTCAAATTTGGGTTGTGAGTGAATAGGATAGGATGTGGCTTTATTGGACCAGTATTTCTACATTTTGAGATTTAAAACATTTTTGATAAGTTCTTTTAAAATTCTACTGGGTGATGATTATAAATGTACCCTCCATCAACATAACAGCTAAAATATTCAAACTGAATTGCTTCAAGAGCTATTGCAGAGAATGAAAAGAGTATGTGAACTCTGCTAGCTCCCATGGAAATGTTATTTGCTATTTTTAAACAGAATACAGCCTTGATGTGGCCAAGACAGCCCCAGACATATTTCAAGGAAATATAGCACATCTCTTGGACCTAATGTCCATGTCCTTATGCTAGGAACTCAATAGAATGCAAAGATACAATCAGAAATCTGGCTCCCTACAGCCAGCCACTCTATGTTTACAAAAAAGCATAGTCTTGAAAAGAGATCCTCAAAAAATTTCCTTAATTTTTCATAGAATTTTTTTCCCAGCCCTCTCAATTAATAGAATCTTAATCAAAATGTCCCCAGTAGAGTGCAATCATTTACTCATTTACAATCTATTTTTTTTCCTAACACTGAAGTTGGCTCAAAGTAAATCAGAATGACTCCACAAGATCCAAATGGAGTAATTATTTGGAGAATGGCTAGTTCTATTTAATAAAATATTACTTTGTTTTTCAGGAGCTGTCATATGAGTTCTTTAGTTAATTTCATCAATTTGCCAGAAATATTATCCTTTTCTGCAATATGTCTTATTCTGCAATATTTGCAAAATACTGTATTTAGAACTCCAAATCAACTAACCTATGGAATTTGTGAATATAAAAAAGCAATAAAAACAGCATAATACTAAATGATAGATTTTCATTTACTAAATATGGAGAAATAGATATTATGAACCATACCAATAAGCTCGCTTTTTTCATTCTCCATTGTTTAAGAAAATTCTTGTATCAAAGGGCCTGAGTTTGTTGATACACGCTTGTCTCTTTTTTAATCATTTTCTCCTGTTCGTGGAGAGAGAAGGTGAAGTAAATATTGTACAGCTAGGGGAAAAAAGAGACCACAAAAAGTCCAGTTACATAAAAGCTTCCAAACACTTTGAAAACATAGCTTCAAATGCACTAACATGATGCCTTATTTGACCCTGCAGAGACACACTCAGCAGGAGCTTTTGTGAGGGTATACAATATTAATGAATATAAACTATCCTGTCTGCGAGGATTTCTCTCCAGGCCCTCGCGGCTATGGATGATGAGCTGCTGGTGTAGGAATCTTTCCTCTCGTCTCAAAAGTAACTTTTTTCTGCCAAATCTTGACATTACAACAATCTAAAGTAAATCAGGGAATAAGACGTTAGCAATGTTTGAAATTCAAAAAACACTTTACCCTTTACTTATTTTAAGAAAGGAAGTATAATAGGGGCACCTGGGTGGCTCAGTCAGGTAAGCATCTGCCTTTGGCTCAGGTCATTATCTTGGGGTCCTGGGATCGAGTACAACATCGGGCTTCTTGCTCAGAGGGGGTCTGCCTGCCCCCCCTCTGGCTTCTTTCTCCCTCAAATAAATAAATAAAGTCCTTAAAAAAAAAAGGAAAGTATAACAGGAATAAAACCATACCCAGTTTTTTTGGTCAGAGAATTGCCCATGAGCAGTCTATACTTTGAAGGGCACATTTTTGCATGCTTATTTAATATCTAGGTAACCACTTGAGTAAAGCAAAGTTGAATAACATCATAGTCATTCTTAGAATTCCAGAGAGCTAATTTCTTCTCTTAAATCCATGGGTCCCCTTTTTTGAACTAAGAATGTAAGACAGATGTAGATGAAAACCAAAAACGTGTTAGTGGATATGACTGAGGTAACTGATTTGCAGATCACCATGATGTGTAACCAGGATCCTTCTGTTTTCAGTTCGAAATTCCAGAGATGATTTGGTATCACAACTCTGGTTACTCAAATTCATTTGAATAAATGTTGATGTCATATACAAATTACAATGTTCAGAGAACTTGCTCTACTTTCTTTTTCTGACAAAAGAAAAGGTAAAGTGACCAAATATCAAAATAATCTCTAAATTCTAACTTGAGAAAGTTTCTAAGTCAAACATTCATCTTCACCTTACGGCTACACAGGTATGCTTGAATAGCTCAGTAAACTACCCACAAAGACATTTTAAAAGAAAAAAGAAGCCACGGGGAGAAGTAACTTGTCCTAGTGCCTACACATTCCCAAGAACTAAAACCTTGCAAATTCTCAAAAGGCCACCCAGAGATGTATAAAGCTGACCAAAAGAAACTAATTATATTTGTACACACTTCTGAGTCTCTCTTACATTTTACTATCGCACTAAAATACTATATAACTGAGTTTAAAAAATTAAATCACTCATTAGGTCTACAATATAAAACATAAAATAATTTAGAAATATCAGATCAATATAATAATTTTAACAATATCAATCAATGTGTTTGGCATTGGCTATATGTATACTTTATGCCTTACCTTATGCAAAGTGGAAAGTAAACACAAATTTGACTCTCAGGAAAATGAGTGAGGAACTTAGAAGAACCTCTGATTCACTGTTTTTTTTTCTAGAACAGCTAAGATTCTTTCAAGGGCTCTTCTGCAAATGTCTGCCTCTCTTAAAACTGTTTTTATTCAGTTTGGCATCTGAAAACAGGACATGGTCCGTGTGTAAAAAGCCTGCCAAATGTTCTTTGTTAGGTTGGTTTGTGTTTGTTTTTTTTCCCCATGTCTTTCTTGTCCAATTACTCTGCCGGGACCGTGTAGTTGTGGACGGTTGGCTAAGCATGGCACGTGGTATTTATTGTTGTGTCTTTCTGGCATTCATAAAAAGTGATCAGATTCTAAAAGGACAGAAAACCCCCATGGTGTTGGGTAAGTCTTTATTAGCTTTTAATGATTAAAAATTAGACAGCTGTGAATTGTGTAAGACTGATGAATCACAGACCTGTACCTCTGAAACAAATAATACATTAGATATTAAAAAAAAGATGGAAGGAAGGGAAAAACGAAGGGGGGAAATTGGAGGCGGAGACAAACCATGAGAGACTATGGACTCTGAGAAACAAACTGAGGGTTCTAGAGGGGAAGGGGGTGGGGGGATG